ACTGCCACCATCTTGATTACGTGGCCTGTCCTGATTACTCTCATCTGTGTTCAATTAGATGCCTGACTGCAGTATTTACTCCCAGCTAATCATTCCGTCTCTGCCAGTTTAAGTGTCCACTTACCCCGGCGCTTCGGCTGATTGTGTTTCTTGCATGTATGAAAAGGAGACATTTAAGAAATCGGTGGTTTTTGTTAAGTACAAATGAAAATTGTTCAATTGAAAACATGCAGCTGAAGCCGCGATGTTACACAGAGTACTGTGATAAAGTCAGAGGCGTTCGGAAACAATGGTTTAATATTCCCATTCACAACTGGGTTAGTGAAGACGGTGTCAAAAAGAGGCGCGGATGATGTGGAGGTGATTATGTTGATGAAGGATTTGTTTGTTGTAAAGTAAAGGGAAGATGTCGACACAGTGTGTGGTCCCTGACAACAACTATAGAAGAGGCCGTCGTCTGCATAATGATGAATCGCAGTGTGACATTTCCTAAATGTTTGACTTGAGATGGTGACAAATACTGAGAGAGGGACGAAGTACAAACTGTTGAACCAGATGAGGTCAGATGAGTCCTGGAGGTACTGTGAGGCTGCTCCTGTGTGTCCAACAGTAAACAAGTGATTGTTTAAACGGAAAGTGATTTCCCTTAGGGATCAATAGAGTATTGAAAAATTGGACGTATAGTATCTGCAGACTGGAGCCGGACCAGGTGAGCAAAGTGCCAGTAAATCCAATGAAAACGACTGTGTGGCAGTGGATGTTTCTAGAGACCGTGCCAACGGCTACATTTAGCTCTAACAGAGTTAATATTGACAACAGGCCCGTATGGACTGGCCTTAAGTTTGTCATTTAACCAGTAAATCACTGCAGTATGGCTGCACTTCAACCTGACTGAAGAGATGACATTAAACTTAGCGTTAAAGTTGTATCTGCGTGACCCTGTGTTGGTCCAGCTCTGACCCTGACGGCCGCAGCTGCTCATTCAGACCGAGGCACCGACCCTGGACACCCTTAAATCATCAGCCTGGCCTCCTGTGTCTACAAGGAGATATATATATATATATATATATATATATATATATATATATAATGTTAAAGGTTGTCTCAATCACTGGAATAATGTAGGTCATGTGACCCAAGACTGAGCAGCATCTGTTTTCTTTCGCCTGTATAAACCAGACGTTTTAAAAAAAGGAAAAAAAGCTGTTACAAACCTATTGTTGTCTGTAGATACTGAAAAATCAACTTTCTTGTTTCCTTGGATTCCACTTTGATTCATTGTCCACGTATTGTTTCATAATGAAGTCTGAATGCTTTTATATAACCAGCCCTGCCGTGTGATTGGGAGCTACATCCACTGCTATTAGCATAAAAACTCCACTCCAAACTCTGGCTCTAAGTGTCTGATTTGCATCACGGCTTATGTAAGCACTAGCTTTTGACAAGAAAGAATAATAATCACAAAGTTCTACTCCACTGATTTAGGTACTTGTTGTGCTAACTGGTGTGAAAAAAGGGACGTGGTTGAATCCCTTCCACACTCGGCTCACGTTCTCAGCCGTGGATGGTGACGGCGGTTGCGTCTTTGCAGGGTGACTGATGTTCATGTCAGTAAACCTGCCTCCGGTCCCAGCAGACCTCTGCGTGTCAGTCAGCTCGGATGGAGTGCAGCAACTGACAAGCACAAAGGGGAGCAGGGAAATAGATGTTGCTGAAGAATCACATGGGAATCCGTTCTCCCGAGTCTCATCATTGAAATTCACCGGATGACTTTTTAAAAATGACCCAGCCGCCACACGAGCACATTTCTTTAAATATGCATAACAGGGTAAAAAAAAAAAAAAAAACTCTTTCCTGAAATGATTCTCGTCAAATCCACTGGTGGAAATAAAAAGGCAAACATGGAAAAAATGTTTAAGAGGGAGTTTCATTTATTTTTGAATGATCAGATCTGATCCTTTTACCTGGATGTAAATGTGGCCTCTTAGCTGTAATGAACGCTAATCCACTCTCACACATTCCATTTATTTTCCAGGGTGAAATATTCTGCCTCGTTCCCAGAGCTTTTCCTCACACGTTAATAATTAGAGAACACGGATCTGGAAGCAGCTTTGATGAATTAGGTTCACTCCACACGGTGGCGCTAATGTGTGTTTATACCATAATGTTAATGGCACATGTTTAGGGTTTTGTTTTTGGCAGTTTGACTGGCTGTTGTAACCTTGTAAGTAGGTGAACTTGGTCCTGATTGGTTGGCTGTTACTGTTGGGTCGACGACAATAAATATGGACACACACATATATATTTATGTATATTTGTGTGTTTATATTTATACATATATGTACATGTACTGTATGTATGTATTTGTGTGTATATTTATAAATATATTCACATGTATGTATATGTGTATGTATATTTATACATATATGTACATGTATGTATATATGTATATAGAGAGAGATTGTATCTATATCTGTATATAAGATACTTCAGTGTCTTTCTGCTGTAGATTATGATCATATTTGGTGCAACAACACACTTGAAAGACGCAGCTCTCTTACGTGTTTTTAACCCAAGTATAAAAACATTCAAGAGGAGGAATCTCGAGTTCCTCGCCCACAGCCTATAAAAACCATACTAACAAGTATTGATTAATGCAGCTCAGGGAGAAACTCTTCTGATGTGTGGAAAGACCCAGAAGCCCCTTATGTTTTCAGCCTTTGCCTCTGATTGGCTGTTTATGGCCACAGGCGATGTGTGGTCTTTCCGCCGTGCTGTACTGTAGCATCAGGACGATCATAGCGAGCGATGGAGCGTCGGTTGAAATCTTAATATTCAGTCAGTAAATCGGCAAATGGAGATTCAGGGAGATTTAGATTTAATGCAGTGCATGATGGGAAACTTGATCCTCGAACTCCAATCGGCTCGCTACGTCAGACAGTTTGGACGCACAAACAACACTGACCTAAATGAGGTCTGAGTGGGTTTTGATGTCATCAGATCTGCAGCCAGAGTGTTTACACTGGCATGTATAAATAATGATGTGTGCTACATGAATTCTTCATTTACCTGGGGGGGGGGTGGAGGGGGGGCTGTTGATTTTAAACTAAATGACTGTAAACACTCACAGGTGACTTGTTTAAATAACCTTCACATGGACCAGGTTTGACCTGTTTCTGGTCAGGGCCGCGTTATTGTTACAGAAATTCAACATGAACTTTGACCTTTCAACAGATCACTTTGACCTCATTCTGATGCGTTGTTTATACTCGGCACAACCACGCCTACATGTCTGAACAAACCGGCCAGTGCTTGTACAACATCCCTGCCTGTGGTCCAGTGTTAGAAACCCATCTGTGTCTCAGGCCGAGCGTTCGCAGCATCACAAATCCACTCATTGGCTACAAGTCTGGTCATGAACGTCCCCCCGGCCTCGATAATAAGGCGTGGGAACCAACACACAGGTTAAATATTGATACATAGGCCTATATCAGAAAAAAAAATAGGGTGAAAAATCGGCTAAATGTCTTTTAAAGCTCCGAGTGCTAAGTGAAAACACCAAATACAATCGGTGATAAAGCTGCTGGATTTTGCCTGGGGTCAAATTTGATCACTGTTATTGGACACCTGATGTATCCTTCTGAGGCGGTGATGAATTTTACCTGGTGCCTCCCAAAGGCTCGTGTGATGTGAAGAGTAAATTAAATTAGACAGCGCTTAAGGTGAGACAGTGCAGTGACTGCACTTATGATGAATGAACGGTGACAGTCGTCTCTGGCGCTGCGCGTTACAGGAACTCGTACCGAATTCTGTCTGACAACTGCAGTCAGACGCTAATGCATCAATAACATATTATTACTTTCCCGTCTGATACAAGCAGCGCTAACCTACATTTTCAGATCTTTTCCATAACAAATAAGAAAAAAAGGAAGAGGCTTTTTGCAGGAGGATAAAACACAAAGAAACAAATGAAACATCAAACCAGATAAATCAGACGTTTTACCTGGGAGGTAACCAGGAGCACTTTACAGGTTTTATGTTGTCCATGATTTTGTTAGCCGTGGCCTGTCAGCTGAGGGAAATAAAGGTTGGCAATGTTGGCTTTTCCTGCACCTCAGAGAGTATCTTTCAGGTGATTGACAGATTCCCGTGGCACTTTCATCAGTGTTTTAGTTTTCAACCTTAAATGTATTTCTTGGACGCTCACATCAGGCATTACACCGTTTGAAGTCTCGTACCTTGTAAAAACCTTTTTAAAAAATGGAAAAGTGTAAATACAAAGGGTAATAAGCACATCTGGTTTGCTATCATGTGACATGTATCTTCTAATTAAGTAATAATTCATCTGGAGCTGCTGTGGCTACTGATGCACCCCCTACCATCGTTGTTTTTTTTTTTTTTTTTTTTTTTTTTTTTTTGGTATTTTGTTGTCTTTCAGCCCAATAAGTTTGTTGGAATCCATCAGGATCCTGCATCATCTATTGTAGTTTGCGCTGTTCTACTGCAGCACCATGGACAAGGCTCAGTTTTCTCTCGAGTAATTCACTTTGTTTTCTGTTTACTTTCAGCACCATGGACAGTTGTCTCGGGTTTTGAACAGTACAGTATTTAGTTACATTTTCTCTCAGTACCATGGACAGCGTAAAGAACCATGGACAGAGTCAAGCACCATGGACAGAGTCAAGCACCATGGACAGGGTCAAGCACCACGGACAGAGTCAAGCGTAATCAATCCAGTCCACAGTGGCATTGTGTGTCAGCACCATGGACAGTTTCCAATCTTACTCCGTCTCGCTGCGTCTTTCCCGTCAGGACCACGGACAGGGCCCAGCCCAGTCAGTTGTATTTTGTGGTGGGTAACTGCTTCAGAACCATGGACAGTTCGTATTGTCGTGTTTCGCTCTGGTTTTTCAGCTTCAGCACCAGGGACAGGGCTTTTCTGCACGTTTTCGAGGATGAGGCAGTTTCTTAAACTGTTGTTCCTGCACATTTTACAGTATCTGGACCACCCCCACTGTAATCAACCCCCTCCTGCACACATTCCATCCCGCTCCAACCCATCCTGCTCCTTGATATCTCATAAGAAGGGAAACATGCAGTGTATAAAAGCCCTGACTCAAACGGGAGCGTGTGTGGCTGCTGGCTGCTGCCGTGACGCTGACTCTCTGCATCTTTAAAACTGACGATAAAAAAAAAAAAAAAGAAGAAGAAGAGGAAAGATAGAAGAAAGAATAAACACACACCCAGCTCAGTTCTAAATGTGGGGATAATAAGGACTACCTCTTTTGACTTTTGGAGCGAGCCCAGCCGTTAGGAGAGCATTCAGCATCATCAGCTGTTCAACACTGGTCTCTTATTGCTGGACGCCGGCGCTGAATCAGTCACATGACAGAACTGGAGGCAGAGATCTAGAGAAAAAGGCACAGCAGTTCGGCTCGCACCGCCATACTGTATTTTGAGCCATATCACATTTTTATTGCAACATTTTACTCCCGCTCGGTGAGTACATTTCCAATGGCTTTTTGTAAGCATTTTTTGTCTTTTGAATTGCCCTCTCCTCCATTTTTTTGTTTTTATTTTTCTTCCTTTTGCTGGTGTTTGAATTGAGCGTTGACATGGTGGTTTGGAGCGTTTTTCCACACGCAGGCTTCAAGTTTTTAGCATGCAGTTATTCTGATCCAGAGTGCCAGGAGGTTTCACGGGTGCCTGATCTGTTTTGAGAGAGCTTTTCCTTGCTTGCAGTTTTGTTTCGGGGGTCGAAACCAAGCAGGTTTTGTTTGTCTTGATGAATTTTTGAAACATTTATTGGTGGTTTTGGATTTTTTGTGTTTTTTTTTTTCTTTTTTTAATTATTATTCTTTTTTTATTTTTTATTTTTTTTATTGTTTCTTTTGACTTTTGCTGTTGCTATGCTTTGGTTTGCAATTTTGCAGTGTTGCTTGTTGCCTTGGAGTTTTGTGATTTTGATGTCTCGGTGACGCTCACCGACTGAATCTTTGATTTTACTTTGTTCCTCTTTTCTTTGTGGATTTAAAGGGATTCGTTTTTAAAGCCCAATCGTGACGTTTTAACGCGATACTTTTCTTGTTGCAGTTGAGCTCACAGGTTTGTTGTTTTTGTATTTCTCTCATCTCTCTCTCTCTTTTTCCATCATACTTTTGCTGGTGGCAATGTCAAGTATTTTTTTGGATGGTGTCATATTTTGCTAGGTGGACGTGGCGAGTTTTTATTCTTGGCGGTGAGTTCGATGCGTTTTTGCTTTCCGTGTCGACGAGGACGAACAAACATTTTTCATTTTGCAGGTAGGGTGTATAACCACAATGGACAAAGTGATAACGTGTCTGTCTTTGCAATAAAGAATGAGGTGACGGAAAATATGCACCTGTGGCTGACGTGTCATTGCTCATTAGAGTCCATTCATTCATACCAACGATATATCGGGTTTTAGATCACACACTGAAGCGAGCCTTGATTACAGTGTGTCTGTTGTTTCTGGCTCAACAATCCTCAAGCCGCGTCGCAGCTGAGGAATGAATGTAAGAAGCTGCATTCACGTCCCTCGGAAGGATGCACTCTGACGACTCAAGGGTTGCATTTTTTACCACATACCGACAGAAATACAGAAATACCGACCAGAGCGGCTGCAGCAGGGCAGTAGTTTGAATGATATAAATTAGGATTTGTTTTGATTATTTTGATTATTTTATGTTGGAATGTCGTACATTTCTGTGTTCCGTTTTTAAAGGTAGAGGATTTAGGAATTTCACCAGTTTTGTAGCAACAGGGAAAATGCAGCTTCCACTCTTACCAGCAGGGGGTGCAACGCATTTAAATGGATTTTTCCACTGTAGTTAATTGAACACTAACAGTTAACACCTTATTTTATAGGTGTTGTTATATTGTTTGTTATATTGTCTATAGGAGGATTTGACCATACAGTTAACACCTTATTTTATAGGTGTTATGTATGTTATATTGTCTATAGGAGGGTTTGAACCATGTAACATTGTAACATTTGAATTTAAAAAAAACAAACAAAATTCTTCTTCTGTTGATTTTAACAGTTGCTGGTCTATTTTGAGTTGCATTAGCGCCATCTACTGGCTCCATTTTCTAGTTTCTCTGTAAACTCACCTGAATTGTCTGTGAGAATTGCTTTAATATAAATATATATATTTGTTTGTTTTCAAAAAGTAACTTCAAACCAAACAAATATACATTGTATTTTCTTGGTTTCGTGACCTTTTATATTTCTGCATACATCAGTCTGTTCAGACCCAGAAACTACAGCTGGTCTAACACTTTATCCAACCATTAATTCCACCTGTAGTCAGACTGAACCCCCCCGTCCCCAACCCTCTCCCCCATTAATCTGAACCTTCTCCCTGTCGGTGATATCGGCCTCTCCTTTAAAAGTTCAGCCGGTGAACTTGGACCTTTTCACTCTGTTCCATTTCCATCCGTATGTGCTGAGTTCAGGGGAACAGAATGATTTTTTTAACCCTGTTCATACACATGGTCGCACCGTTAACACTGAGCACAGGCTGTAAAGTCACAGCGTCATTAAAAGGGGGCGCCGGTCATCACAGAGATGAGAATCCGTGCGATTTACCGTAATGTGGTGAGATGAAGTATGGCTCCACATTTTTTGATAAAAGCCAACTAATTAGGGCAGTTGTAGGTAATGTGTTTTATTATGTATTGAGTAGCTGTTAGCAGGCTTCGATTTCTCCGTCTCCTGCTACAGCTGCTCAGGCCATAAAGAAGGAGAAGATGAAAAGAGCCACATTTGAGATTGAAGGATTTCTCGTTTTAATGCTCAATTAGGAGACAGTTAGTCGTCTTTGTTCACAAATATGTCTCTAAGACAGTTAGTCGTCTTTGTTCACAAATGTCTTTTTTTTTCCACCGTCAGCACTTTGTTGAATCAGACGTACCACAAAAATTAAAACTTCAGGTGAAGAAGAGACTCCAAATTCTGTTCTGGTGCAAGGAAACCCAGATTAAAGCGGAGCTCGGCACTAAATGATCTCATTTTCCATATTGCAGACATTAGGAGAGCGGTCAGAACTCCCTAATGAAGCTCGGTGCCACAGTCCTGCTGCTCCAAGCTGCTCCATAAGCTAATAACTCTTTTATAATTTCATAAAATGACCCATTAAAGTGTTACGATAAATGAATTTGTTACAGGATTTAATTTGGAGGCAGCAGCTGAGAAGTACAGTAGTGTCGTGTGCCGCCACCTTCAGTCTGAACCAAGTCAAGAACATTTCCGTTTGGTCACAGACACGGTCAAAAATACTCTGAACTGTGGTTGAAATCATTAAAACAAACTAACCACAGGTTAGTAACGCCAGTGGTGCCCTAACTGTCCTAGGTAAAAGTGGAACTGGCCTAAACCTTAGCATCTGATTCATGTGGCTGAATGACAAACAAATTCTATTTTTCATTCCTTTCTATCAGCTCTGATCCATTTGTGTCACACTGTAAAACAACAGCGCCACCTTTGTTTTTTTGTTTGGTTGTACAAACTATTTATTTTGAAGATAAAGACAGAACAAGGTTTCACCGAAAAACATCAACAAATTCTTTGAACCAAAACAAAACAGAAGTGAAATCGAAGAAGTAAAAATAATGAAACACAGGGAAGAAAAAAAAATGAACGACATCGAAAGAAGCCTAGCGTGTTAGCTTCAACACCTTTACACATTTTCTACTTATTTGCTAGTTGTTTGTTCATTGGTAGTATGTCCTGACTTTCTAATTATGTTTTTCCACACACATTCATTGGTAGTATGTCCTGACTTTCTAACTATGTTAGAACCCGTGACTAAAAGGACAGGGTTTAATAAGGACGAGTGTCTGGAGTAAAAACGGTGTCAGAATCGTCCAGTTCTCAGCTCTGAAACCTGCAGCTCTGCAGACTCAGGCTTCGTTCTGTCACGTCCAGGTGTCGGAATCTTTTTTTCCTGAGATTTCACCTCTTGTCTTTTCATACCCGAGTGAGCTGCATCACAACACATCACCGGGCCTTCACACTCCCGAGCTGAGAGGCGTTCCTGCCCCAGCGTGAGGCTCCTGGAAGCCTCACCCACCGAGCTTCATGATAGCTTCTATTACCTCCTGCCGTCCTGCGTCTCCCCTTCAGGCAGGTTCTCCTCTTATCTGGGCCACAGCAGAATCACGCAGGAGAAACGATCATAGCTCACGTGTACAGCTATACATCTGCCGCCATGAATAAAACATCACGCCGCTAGAAGTGAGTGAGTTGTGAGACGCTGTAAAATAAGCGGGGGCTCAATTTTCGAATGCGTGCTCGTCTGAATGTAGCGGTGTTTACATTAGCGTTGTCATCTTAAAACAACAACACTCGAGCTTCCTAACGGACGGAACTGTTCAAATGGACACGTAATAATTAGACTGTAGTTTTTACACAGGTGTTGTGTAATTAGCGGTGGCTGCTGTGTTTACAGCATCAGTGCGAGGACGGATGTCGTTCTGGAAGAATCGGATCTTTATCTGCTGTAAACTCAGACCCAGCTGTAAAATAAAAACAAATGCAGAAAGACTCACGTCTTCAACATCGGAGGTGGATTTACAGACCTCATATATATATATACTGTATATATGTGTGTACACATATATCTGGATGGAGTACTCATGCAAAACATCCATCCACCCTGGAGCTCAGTGTCTTTGAGCAGCAGCAGCAGCAGAAAGTGACGGACAAAAACTGATAAAAAAATAAAAGTTAATATTAAATCTAAGGTGACGGACAAAAACTGATAAAAAAATTAAAGTTAATATTAAATCAACTATTTATTATTTTTCATGTTTAGCTCTGGGTATCAGCCTGTCTGCACCTTTGACCTTTCATCACCTCCACTGTCCACAGTATTCTCCATGTTTCACCATAGATTTTTTTGACCCTAAATTATATTTTACAATTGGACGGTTGGTCCAGGTTTCACACTGAGCGTCGTCTCACAGACAAACCTCGTCACCTTTGCTGTGACGTGCTCTCCTGTTCTTTTCTGAGCTGTTAAATTGATAAGTGAGCGCAGCTAACATTTCATATTCTGGGTAATTTAACCCATGTGTTGATGAATGGAGTGGAGCTGAATGACTGACCACAGTCTGTTATTGGAGCCGTTGGAGTTAAACACTGACATGTGAAAGTTGTCTCTGTTTATGTTTCATTAGTTACAGCTTTGATGCACATTTATTTACTATAAGTTTAAACAAGAAAGGCAAAAGGGGCAAAAAACAAAAAGGAAGAGTGCAAAAATTAGAACAGAAGAAAGAAAAGAAAAGAAATGGTAGAATGAGATCAAAGGTAGAAAAATAAAGAGGAAGAAAAGAAGAGTCAAGAGGCGCAGAAGAAGGAGGGAAAAGAAACATGTTTTAAACATTTCCCTGCATAGACCAAGAGGTGGTGTGTGTGTGTGTGTGTGTGTTTGTGTGTTTGTGTAAAGTCAGTATCAGTAAATTCACAGGAC